TTGAAAACACATCTTCCAATAATGGCACCCACCATTTGACAACTAATAGTAAAACCAACAATGAAATATATGTCAGTTGGTGACAACAAATGTTTAAGGAATCGTGGTAGGTTAATTAACGAACAATATGAAGAAACAACAAAATGAACATAGATAAAAATATAGGGTACAAATACCTTGTTTCTTTTTTCTGCCTAATGTGTATTTTGATAACACAACCACTGGAAAAAAACCGCACTGGACTCAAGTATAAATGATAAAAATATGGAAAACCCCCAATGTGAGACAAACCTGATAAACATCCAAATTTATATAGAACTAGAACCACACTAATTTCAGGAGAAACACATGCACTAAAAGCAACAAAAAAAAAAAAAAAAAAAAGAAACCGAAATTAGTGCCTTTTCATATTTCAAATTTGGTAAGAAGAAAAAAAATTGAAATAAAAAGCCAAATTTTATGTAACTTTAAAAACATAGACGATGCATTCAGACATATGCATTAATATTCAACTCCTACATTTATGTCAAAACATTCCTTATATGGAGGTTGGTAACGTTAAATAAAATGTATTCCAATTATTATGTTAGTTTCCAACATGATGTATTATGAGAAAAATATGCATAAACATTCAAGATTTAATATTATGAGATAAATATTCAAGATTTAATATATCTGATTCTTTAATTTCTTTATTATTTAACTTGAGAAATATATGCATAAATATTCAAGATTTAATATAATCATATTTAAATTAATAAAGTCATTCAATATATAAAACAATTCAAATTCGTATAGTTTTTAGGACATTAATTCTCATATTTCATATTAATATGTAATTAGCTTAAATGCACCATTGATTCGGCTATATTTATACAGACATTAATTTCGCCTTTTGTGCATTCATCTCCATAATTTCGTACATTAATGTCTTTTGATTTATGTTATTTTTTTAATTTCTCAAATTCATTAACTCCCCCATATAATTTGCATGTAATTATTTTTTATAAATCAAACATACAATAGGGGTATTTTTCGGCATCCGAAATATGTAAAATGTGTCAAGTGGAATGTAATTGATGAATTCGCTTATGTGGATCCTAGTCACTAGGTTTTTCTGGAGTAAAAAAGTCATGTTGGGTTTTTTTATCATTGTCCAACGGTATATAATGTACCTACGAAACAAATGAAATTAAATACTATGAAATATATCCAGATTTTCATAAAATAAATATGAAAAAACGTATCATAATCACCTGTTTAAATGCACTGATTATGATCGGATTCATTGAAGACCCATTATACACCATGTTGTTTGAAAGTATCTCCATTGAAGTTGAATGGTGCGATTCAAATCTCAAAAACGGTTGGATTTTCTGATTGTCAATCTCTCCCTATAAACGTGGTAATTATTGAAATTAATGATGTGGTTATGGATGGTTTTCTGCAAAACAGGTGGATTTGAAACGGTCATGGGATGATATTCTGAAACGCCTGGGGTTATATTCTGAAACGGCTACTAAGGATGAGTGGCATAGGCATAATACTATTGTATTATTAGGTAAATAGTTTTTCAATATGGCTACACATTTTAATTTTGGGTTTTCATTAAATGTTTATAGATACATGTGTTTTGGTCTAAGGATTGTGAATTGCAAGGGGTAAAATCTAATGGATCCTATTCCTCTAGTTTGTTCATTCAACCATTTGTCATATCCTCTACTCTAGATTTGTAGGCCTTTGGAAAAAGTTGGTCGCAAATGATTTTTTTGTGTAGACTAGGAAATTCACCTCTTCCTAGTAAATGCCCTATCAAGAATAATGAATCAATTTTAACAAGGAAACAAGTACAAAGTAGCGTACTCAAGGCAACCAACTAACAAACCTTCAAATTTTAGAAGAAAGCAATTTACCTTTGTGTGATCTTAGAGGAGCAGGCGAGGAGATGGCAGTAACACAAGAGACTTTTCTAAAAAATAAAAAATAAAAACATTTTGAAAAACCTGAAGGAAAGAAAATTGAAAAACCTGAAATAGTTGTAAAAGAACCAGATGAAGAAGGAAGGAGAAAGATGTTAGCTGTAAATTTGAGAAGAATTGCTTTGGAGGAAGACTGTAAATCTTATTTGCTATCTCACCAGGTTTTGTGGGTGCCGATCGCGATCTTGCAAACCTCATCAACGAAACTGATATACTTGTCGCCCATAGGGGTGTGTTAAAGTATACAATACAGCCAAATTATCAATAATTTTTTTCTATCCGAGTGCACATTGCTGTTAACTTTCATATTACGCCGTGGTCTATTGCAGGTGGTGAAACTGTGGCCAGAGAAGATGTAATGGAAGCAATTGAAAAAGAGAAGTTCAGAAACAACGATAAGCAAGGCGGGGTACAATAAGCAAGGAGCTTGGGAAAATGTTTGATCCCATGGATGCCTTCTCTGATGGGAAATAACACAAGACGAGATTGAGTGCAACGATCAGTAGGATATCAAACTTTGAGCTGAGCAATATGTACATACGTTCTAATGGTAGTTATAAATTTAGATTTATATATATGGTACTTGTTAAATAATAGGAAATTGTTAATATTAATAGCCTATATGAATGCTGAGATTAACATTTAGATGTATGCTCCAAACTTGCCAGTGTATCACATCATGGTATATAAGGATAGACTGACATGAATAGAGTAAGGAAAAGAACAAACAAAAAGGTAACTGGCTTTTAGCTTTATCAATATCCATAAAATAGTGAATGTTCACAGCTATACTCCTGTCTTGTTTATAGAACCTCAAGTTTGTCGAAATTTGAGTAGTTAAGCTCAAGCTGCTGCAATTTGTGTTTATTTTTTTTATTTGTTACCCCTTCAACATTTTTGAATGGTACATCCTTATGCAGGGTTTCATGTAGCTGAATACTTAGCATGCTAAACCTACACGAGGCTTCTCAGATGCGAGTCTGCCGGTCGATCAGACAGGATCGTGTAGTTGCAGTCATGAAGATTTTGGAGCTGATAAACTTTGGGAGAGATGATTAGGTATCGAGTAGATTCGATGTCAAGATATTAATGCACCGCATACCACGTGGCTAAAATAAAAAAACCGGCATGCTTTCACATACTGTTGACCCTAAAAACTACCAAGCCTACGTGACGCGTAGGCCGAGTAATCTATAAGCTAACTACGTCATTCGGTTGTGTGCGGGGCATGCCAACTCATCGGCCAAGCTTGGCCAAGGAGTAAAATATGTTGATGTCGCGTTGGGTGCACTGCTGACTTCTTGATCTTGCGACTGCAGCCGAGGAAGGAACTTGTCTCGGCCTTCGGGTTCTAGAGCCTAAAGACAAGGCTGCTAACTTAGCGAAGTTCAATATCAAATTTGGCTTCCAATGTGCTGAATGTAGTAACTCGTAACACCTCACTTCGCCGAGAAGGCTGATGAGATGACCTCGACCACAAGGATTCTGAAATCCTTCTCGACCGAGACTTGGATAGGTAACCAGTCGGCCTCGACGCAGTGCTGTTTATGTCAACTGAAGATGCTGCGAGATCGGCTGATTCTACGGCGACAGTGCTGTTTATGCCAACTGAAGATATCACCGGTTGCCTCCACAGTGCTGTTTATGCCAACTGAAGATGTGTCGGCGAAAAATAAAATAAAAAAAAATCTCAAAGTTGTTAAGAGAGTTTGCGCAGGGCAGTTTTGTGTGTTGAATTGGAGGTTTTTGAATGTTGCACCGAGTCTTGTATTTATTGTATTCATTTTTCTGCTTGGCAAGGTCTGATAATATTGTAGAGTTAAATTGCAACTCTAATTCCTGAAGTTGATCCGCGTCAAAAGCCAAGCATATCCTCAGATTGTAGTTCGTGACTTCAACTTTCTAACTGTTGCTGCTGACCACTCATTTATCCCATGCATAATCATAATAAATGAAACTCTGACCACTTTATCTTTTATGCACCTACAGTCACGCCTTAGACCTTATCACATCAATCAAAGCTTAATCCCATCAAAATAATTACCATTATATATATATATATATATATATATATATATATATATATATATATAGTCTGGGAGATTTTTGCACTGCATAGGCTGATGGGCATGCAGACTATACAGCCTACATATATATATAACTTGTAGCTTTTCAGACGGCATACAAGTCTTCCATCATCTGACAACATCCTAGCCCGCTTAGGTCCTATCCACCATTATCTTCGGCTTGTAGGTCCATGTTAGGCCAAGTGAAGAGTCCAAGAATCTCTATAATTTATTTTGTACAAGAAAACTAAGATAATTATTATGATTAAAAACCATCATATTATCTCTTAACAATAGCAAATTATCTTAACTTTCTTATCCGACGATTAAGAACCATGTTTACTCAACGGCCTCGATTGCTTGGGCCGATGGCGTAAAATCGGGTCCAAACACATACACATGAAGTAAGTTTCCAGGTTAAATGAAGTAAGGGTTTACCATTGATTGATTTTCATTTTAGATTGGTATAAATCATAAACATGAGTAACCCACACCAGCTGCTATGCTGGTTGAAGCACATTGTTGTATCTTTCCAATTTATTTGATAGAATAAACCATGATATCTACAGGATTATTTAACTTATATAATTATTGACGATATAATAAATAGATGAATATTTTTATGGTTTGGAAACTTGACCTCACCGCCCATGCAAACCACGTGCTGATCTGAAAAGGAAATTTTGATAACCTCCACAATCTACTCCTATATGTCTTTGAATGCAAGTATTTGGGAATAGGACTCCAGGATGAGCTTTTGTATTGAAGATTTTGAGGAAAATTTTGGAAGACCACGTCGCCTTTCCGACCCCTAAAAAAAGTTAAGGAACTCCATATTTTGGTTTTGCCCGACTCCAGTCTGGTCGCTGCCCTATGTGCGCATCTCTACCCAAGTTCCTGTTTAGTTACTTCTCCTAGTCAATCAAACATCATCCACATTGCACACAGATTTGAGTAATTTGGAAGCAACATAAACATTTTATTCATATTCCTTTTGCTGAAGGAAGCAACACGATTTAGAACACGGTTGATAGGGTGCTGGCGCTTGTGGTGAATTGCCATGGAGGTAGAGCTAGGAAGCAAATATGGATTTGTTGTCCTGTAATACAATCTAATGTAATGAGGAAAATAGAACCCAGATTTCCTAATTCCTATATGCACATTTTAATTCAACTAAATTCATGAGCAATCACCATAATTACAGATCATTCCACTTACAAGATTGGTGATGGATCACCAACCTTGCTGTTGCACAATGCCATCACTTTCGCATTAGAAGATTGCTGCTTTGAGTCTCCTCATCAGCTCCTCCCTGTACCCAAACGAAGAGTTCAAACCTCATCAGAATAAAACCGACCTTTTACGCTGCGAATTCAAAATTTTTTGTCCTAATTTAAATTTACCTTGTTAGTTGTTTGTCTAGAGATGAAGCATTTAAGAGTCCCCTGTTCTCTTCAGCCCTCCTTAGAAGATAAGGCAGAACCAACTGTATCGGTCCAAATGGCATGTACTTGCTTACTTGAAACCCTGCATTTTTTAGACCAAAGGAAAGCGATTCTGCCATTCCGTACAGTTGTGCAAATTCAAGCTTCTGGTGCACCTTCCTGACCCCAATTTCGTGTGCTTTTGCCATTGCTAGTCTCCCTAACATTCAACATTTTACGTCAGACATATTATGTGCAAAACTCAGAACAATGCAGTAGCCTTTTTCTAAAACTTTTGTGCAAAACTCATAACAATGCAGTAGCCTTTTTTCTATAAGTTTTAACTTTTAAGTTTGTCGATTTCGTTACCTGATTCAACATTATGGGTTGCAAGAACAACGGCATCAGAGCCATTTGCAATCCTTTCAAGCATGAACGAAGCACAATCATTGTAGCACACGTGCGTGTCCTCAATGCAATCGTGAATGGGAGACTTATAGCCCAAGGAAGAAGCCAATTTTCCTTCACTAGACATATAAGCTCCCCTCACCACTTTGAACCCCATCGGAACACCCATCTTATCTGCGGCCTTCGTTGCCAGCAACAATCTTTCCTTGGCATCTTTCAGGTAAGCTTGGATCGTCCCATAAACAATCGGGTTGTCATCTTTGTTATAGATGATTGCAGAGGAGTAGGTCAAGTAATCGATGGCGGGTTGAATTGATGTGTACTCTGCATCGATCGATAGAGGCACATTGACTTCTACGCAGTTTTGGGACAATTTCAGTAGTCTTTGGTGGACTAATTCAAGATCACGCTCTTCTTCAGGAGTTAAAGGCTCCGGCTTTTTAAGGGTGTGGTAAAGAGGGCTTGATTCGGAGAAAATGGGAAACGTATCGCGCTTCCATGGGAGATTGAAAGAAGGATCTTGTTGTTGCCATCTCAGCAAGTCACTCACTCGTTGAAGTAGATTCATTGGGCAAATTGCAGTGATTTTCAAAATTATAAAGCTCACCTGTTACAATCCAAAAACGTCATTTTCTGTTACCATCACAACAAACAACTTCAGAAGGATGTGGTGAAGAAAACAAATCGCAACAAGAGTTTGCTTTGTCTGGAGGTGCTTCTGGGATAAGTCAGTATCTGATTCAGAACTTGGCATCGACCGACGACTAACAAGCTATGTTAAATGTAGTTAAGCAGCCCCAGTAGGGAGATACCACGTTGGAATGAGAACAATTGGGTGGTGCATCGAAAGACCCCAGTGGCAGTAACTAAGCAAGTAGGACTCGCAATACTATATTTATGACATGTCGACCACATAGAGACTAGGACCCACAATCCTACATCCATGAGGCATGGCATGTTAATTGCATGGAGTCAGCTGCTTGATCACGTGACGAGTCTTAACAATCTCACTAAAACAACAATATTTCAATATTTTAGTCTTCGTAATAGTTGATTAACCTGATTATTTTTTATTCGTGACATATTATTTGGTTTAAATTTTTTATCTTCTCAACATTATCCTAATAAAATAGAATTTTAAAAAGAAATAAACATTTTGAATTCAAAAAATCAGAAAGGAAGCCAGAATTTGACAAGATCAAAGAGAAAAGTCAATAAATGGAATCTTGGAATCCTGATTTGGGGTGATGAGAAAAACTAGTTACCGAAGAAGGTGGCAGGGATTTGGTGGACTCAACGGTGTCCAAGAAACCTTGCAAGTTCCTGTCACATGCCTCGTTGTCGCCAGCATACTCGAGAGCGTAAACCAGCATCCCTCTCAGCCCCGCCTCGTTAAGCTCCAGCACCGACTTTCCGGTGGCCGCTGGGTTCTCGCCAGCACAAAAATGGTCGTAAATTGTGGACCGTATGGTCCCCAGGATCGCGTCCTTGATTAAGGGAGTCTGCATGAGCCTGGACCGCATGACCCACATTCCAATGTCCACCATCGGCTCCATTCCCACCAAGTGGAGGTTCAGCGCCGTCCTCAACAGCCTTGACGTGGAGACGGACGCAAACAGCTTGTCCGCGTCATCGAAGTTAGAAAGGTTAGTGGCGGCGTTGTCGGAGGGGGTGATGGCAGTGGTGGCTTGTGGTGTTTTTTCGGAAAAGCCGATTGGTGGGGATATGCCGGAGATGGTGCTAGTGGAGGCGGAGTTGAGTGGCCTGATAGTTTTCAGGAGTTTTGACGCTGCCGGGATTACTCGGTTTGCCATTCAACGGTGGGTGGTTGTCAAGTAATTATCTAGCTCTCTGTTTCTAATCCCAATTCTCTCTAGCGCTCTCTCTCTCTCTTTCGCTCTCGCTCTCTCGCTCTCTCTCTCTAAGAAAAGTTTTTTACTATATTTGTTTGTGATGTTGTTAGAACTGTTACAGTTACTTATATAGGCAGTTTCGGAGTTTTTACCGGGCGGTGATTTGGGAAAAAACTAGCTACTTGGTAAAAGTTAAGCAGGGTTAAACTGATTAAGGTTGACTATTGACCTGGCTCAAAGGATTTGATTGGTTCATTCGTGCTTATTGGCACTCCATGCTGACTCATCCGTGTCGAAGTGGATAAAGCTGTAAGTTGGAAGAACCAATAGAATCGCTAGATGCTTGAACGGGATCTGCCTTGGCTAACGCGATTTATTACGAGTGCGCTGCACGCGATAGTAGCGTGCGACGTAGGATGTGCGGTGCGTTTTTGCTTTTGTTTACGTAGCATAGTTTTTGCTTTTGTTTGTTTTTTTGGTGGAATATTTCTCTCATGAAAAGTAGGATCTTTGTTTTTTTACGAGAAATTAGGGTTTAGAAAGATAAGTGCGACTGACCTAGTGAGTCAGAAGATGAAGTAGGCCAAATGATCGTTTTTACAGCCGAAGTTTGAGGGTGGAAGAGGGCATACGGGAAGTCGGGGGAGGACCTCCGACCTCAAAGATAAGGCTCGAGATATGTAGAATTGTAGATGCAGAAAACGGAGGTTGGGGGAAGTAGTAGATAGAGTGAGGAGCTCAAAAATACCATCTCCCAGCAAGACTAATGAGTTGGGCAAGCAGTCTACAAGCGGGGAGGGAGGATACTGTGACATCCTCTATGGCAATGCGAAGGGAGAAAAGAAGGCAAGGATAGAGGATGCTAGCTAGTCTTAATTAACGCAGCATCCACATGTGTGCTCCTGCTGCAGCGAGGGTTGCTGGATAGAGCAGGGGCAGAAGGGAAAGAAAGGTGGGGGGACACTACTACAATGTAGGCTATCACCGGCGAAGCAAAAACCAACAATAAACCCAATTTCTGTCGGAAATTTGGCAAAAATTTGACATAAAACAATGTAATGTCGGATTGGAATAGCGACACTAATGCTAGCGTCATGAGAGGGCTTCAGTGTCGGTTTTTACCCTTAATCCGCCACTACGCAGCGTTGATTAAAAGCGATACTGATATTAACGTCGGTTTAAAGCAACGTATACTTCAACATTACGTCAATTTAAAGCGACGTTCATTAGTAATTTAATTATAAAATATCCAGCCTACTGTCGGTTTTAACCAACATCGTGATAAAATTAAATAAATAATATATCCCTTAACCGACATCAGATGACAATTAAATAAATAAAATATGCAAACTAGTAACGGTCTTAACCGACACCACATTTGTTAATAATAATTAAAATATGCGAAAAATCTGCATTCGTTTTCAATTAATTGTAACTAAAAAAAAATTATATAACCAACATAATAAATTTCAAGTATAGCCAAAACAAACATTAATAAAAATAATAAATCTTAACCTCTAGGTCCAAAATCTGTTTATTATCATTTTCGTTCCTCATTCTCAGCTCATTATTTTGAGTCATCAGCACTGCCATTGCACTCTTAGATGACCTCCTGGAGGAATTTGATGTAGAAGATGAAGAACATGCATAGGACACCATATCAGGAGTCACCCCATGACCATATTCTCTAACTCTATTATGACTCTCAGGACCCATTGTATCAACATAAACCCAAGTCCTAAGTTCTTCATTATCCTCATGGCCCGACTCAATCAAAGTTTGCAAATTGCTCTCCATTGTTGTCTTGCATTACAATTTTTAAAAATAAAATTTCAAACAATCGTAAAACAAAAAAAATAAGCTATAGACAATAAAAATTAATAACAATAAAATACTAACACGAAAAAATCAATTACCCTTGTACACTCCGATGTTTCATCAATCCAACTATTATCTTTTTGTGTATGACATTTGTTTGTACCATACTTAGGGCCTCCGTATTTAGATCTCGTATAAATACTCAGGGGACTCAAATGTAATTATGTAATAAAGGAAGGAGCAAATATGTAATAAGTGAGGAGCCCTTATTCTATAAAAGGGACTCCTCACCCTCACAATTAGGAAGCCCCCATCACCCTCACAAAGCTCTGATCCTCACATACATAAGCTATCTCCCCCACAATCCTTTCACAAACAGATAAATACAATATCAGTGTGGACGTAGCCCAAAAATTGGGGTGAACCACGATACATCTTGTGTTCTTTACTTTCTTGCAGATTCACGATCGGATTTACGTTGTTCCAAGACCCCTATGGTTTTGTGCATCAACATTTGGCGCCGTCTTTGGGAATCGACACGAAAAGCTATGTCGGTTCTCTCTCAATTTTTCACCTCCGCTGTGAATCTACAAAAACCTAAAGACCCAAAGCTTTCCCAGAAAAACCCCACGGTTCTCCATTTTCATATGCCTAACAACAACAAAAACAACCTTTATCCCTCCATCTTTCTTTCTCTCTCTCTCTCTCTCTCTCTCTCTCTCTCTCTCTCTCTCTCTCTCTCTCTAGAAGCTCACAAGAGTGAGAAACAGCTGAGAAACTGCAACTAGGCGAACCCGTCATTGTCTTCGGCCATGTGGGCATAGATGCTCAGCTGGTTCACGCCCTCTTCGTTTTTCCTCATCCTCAACCCTCATGATCGGCATCATAGTCCTCAACTTCCGCTATGAGACCCACAAAAACCTGAGCACCAACAACTGCAGTAGCAAGAAGAGAAATAGCCCCCGCCGTCGCCCGGACCATCTCAATCGTCAAAGCCCGCAGTGACTTATCATCTTCCCCACCCCACGATCACTCTCCCGCAGCGCACCTCTTTCGAATCAATCTTTAGCTGTGATGGCGGAGGGAATATTGGGCCCGATCTGGGCCTAGGGTTCAGCCCCAGACCCATGACTCTCGTCTCCAACTTCTTCTCAAACGACAGTGACGACTGCAAGTCCTTCTCCCAGCTGCTCGCTGGAGCCATGACATCTCAATCTCCGAGGGCCCCGGGGTTCCCTCAGCTCAAGGAGCGAAATTCCAGTGACGGTGATGGAAATTCAGATTTCCGATTCAAGCAGAACAGACCGCCGCTGATGTTTTCGGTCCCGACGTCGTCTGGGTTTCTCGACTCGCCGAGAATCTTCTCACCCGGTCAGGGACCCTTTGTAATGATACACCAGCAGGCCTTAGCACAGGTCACAGCTCAGGCTGCTGCACTCTCCCCATCATTTTTCAATTTCTCAACTGAGTATTCAACATCTTTCTCGACAGCACCCACCACAATGTTGACACAACTTCCATCCTTTACTTTTGATACAATGCCACTAAAAGAGATACCGTCTGGAACACCTGACTTTTCCATGGCCACAAAAGAATCATCTGACATTTCCCTTTCAGATCAGAGATCCACTTCGCGTGTACATAGATCTTAAGGCCGGCGGAATGCTCTCTTTGCTCTTGGAAGTTCCCAGATTCTCTTCTTCTCAGACCAAAGGAGGGCGACTTTTTGGGGGGATCAGGAACAATTTCCTTTACTTGTGTGTTTTGATAGGCACGAGGAGTGAGAATGGATGGGCACGACCAGGCTGTCCAAGAAAAGAAAGTGGGTTTGCAAGCAAAAGATACCTTGCAAAGCAATATGGGTGGACATAGAATGAGCGAGGAGATCAAGAAAAGCAAAAGAAACAAGCAGAAAGAAAAGCAATCAAGTAAGCTGCGGCACAAAAGCAAAAGAGAAAGGCATAGTGGGAAACAAAAGCGAAAGCAAAGCAGAAAAAATATCGAGAAAAAGCAGTAAGCAAAAGGGAGGCTTTCCTCTACGAAAGCACATGGGGACACTGCAAAAGTAAGGAATAAACACCCAAACTGCAAAAGCAAGGAATAAACACCCAACTAGAATGATGTGATTTACCTTTCTTATTTTTGAATGATGTGATTTATTTTTCTTATCTTTCGGAGACATCTGTATAACCCCATCAGAGGGTAATAAAAAAAATGGCAAGCCCAAAATAATAGGCTAGAATGTTATGTGGAGGGCGAAGGCTCATTTGCCCAAAAGAGTCAAGCATTCTATTATCACCAACCAGGTGATCAAAAGTACGCCCAGTACTCTAAAAATTATTCGGCAGCCTGACGCTATTATCACCAACCAGGTAATCAAAAGTACGCCCAGTACTCCAAAAATTATTCAACAGCCTGCTGCTATTATCACCAACCAGGTGATCAAAAGTACGCCCAGTACTCCAAAATTATTTGGCAGTATGCCGTTATTATCACCAACCAAGTGATCAAAGGTACGCCCAGTACTCCAAAATTATTCGGCAGTCTGCCTCTATTATCACCCACTAGGTGATCAAAGGTACGTCCAGTACTCCAAAATTATTCGGCAGCCTGCCGCTATTATCACCCACTAGGTGATCAAAAGTACGTCTAGTACTCTAAAATTATACATGTGCATCACTCATGTCAATCATACATAAACATTTATGAGCATCACTCATGTCAATCATACAAAAACATTCATGACCATCATTCATGTCAACATTCATGAGCATCACTCATGTCAATCAGCTTCGAAAGCTTAATTTATAGAGCTCCAGCTTCGAACGCTTCATTTATAAAAGCTCCAGCTTCCAAGCTTCACTTGCAAAGCTTTACCTACAAAGCTTCAGTGCAGGGTATACAAATACCGCCTCCGAACAACCGCCATTTCGGCCCATACATGGATTGGATTTGAAGTCTCCAGGCAACATACCCTATTGACTGAAGACTTGGGGGACTACACTATGTACCATATATTGGGCTTCCGCAACTGGGCCTCATGAAAAATACTCGGGGGACTTCACCCATTACTTATGTATTGAGAAGCGAGCCCTTATTCTATAAAAAGGACTCCCTCACCATCATTAGAGAGCATCGCTGCCTGTTGAGCAACCGCTTCGCCACGAGCATCACTCCTAACCCATCACTTATGTATTGAGAAGCGAGCCCTTATTCTATAAAATGGACTCCCTCACCTTCAACACCACAAGCCGAGCCAACCAAGGCAACATAAGCCACAAGCCGAGCAGCCTCGCAATATGTGCTACTTCTAGTTGAGCATCATTTCAGATTGAGCACCGCCTCATATCGAGTATTCAGTTCTAGACGACATCTAGTTACTTCGGCCCACAAATGGACTGAATTTCAAGTCTCCAGCCAAAAGATTCTCTTAACTGAAGACTTGGGGGACTACTGTTTGTACCATACTTAGGGCCTCCGTATTTAGATCTTATATAAATACTCGGGGGACTCAAATGTAATTATGTAATAAAGGAAGGGCAAATATGTAATAAGTGAGGAGCCCTTATTCTATAAAAGGGACTCCTCACCCTCACAATTAGAAAGCCCCCCTCACCCTCACAAAGCTCTGATCCTCACATACAAAAGCTCTATCTCCCTCACAATCCTTTCACAAACAGATAAATACAATATCAGTGTGGACGTAGCCCAAACATTGGGGTAAACCACGATACATTTTGTGTTCTTTACTTTCTTGTATATTCACGGTCGGATTTACGTTGTTCCAAGACCCCTCCGGTTTTGTGCATCAACAACATTCACGAAAAAAGGTTACAAGATATGCCTCTTTCCATGCTTCTTCCGCTTTATCAAAAATAAAATTTCATACAAACAATTTTAAGCAAACCTCATATTAAAAATAAAATTTATAACAACTATAGATTATTTAAAATTAATAACATTTCTTCAAAATGTACAATCCTTACAAATTCTTGCCGCACTCTTGCAAAAGATTTTGTACCAGTAGTATGGTTCATTGTTTTTAATTGCCGATTAATCTTGTTTTTTTCAGCAACCTACTGAACAAAAAAAAAGAATTTATTAGATAAATTTAAAGTTATAACGAAATAAATCATATAATGATTACCCTTGTTTTTTCTCTATTCCAGAATGCCACCAACTCAGCCCACTGTGCAGGATTCACTTTAGGAGGAGGGTGGCTGCGCACCTCTTCTGCTCTTTTAGTATAATATTTTTTTTATAACTTATTTCTATACTCTTTATGAGCATGCTCCGCAACTTTAAGTGTCATATGGCGGATCATAGGCATTTTTACTATATTTGCATCTTCAAAAAAAAAATATTTCGCTACATCCATATAAAAAAAAAATCAAGCTAATAAAGTATTACTACAATCTTTGACTTATTCTTCTATTTTCAAGTTAAAATAAAAATATCTATGCCTTTATTTTATTCTAGAAAACTTCCTTATCTTCTTCCTTAATCTTACGCCAACCCCTCGTCAACGGGAGATTGTGGGGGTCTCTAACCTCCGCTGCTACATGTTTTGAAAAAGCACTAGCATTATCACTAATGCATTTTCCAGACGAATCAAACGAACAAAGTTGTTTTGTCCATTTAGGAATTGAGGGTCCGTGCCTCCGTTGAGATGTTCCTTATTATCACAAAAAAAAAAAACAATTAAAAACCAGAAAACAAATGTAAATTTTCAGTTTAAGCATAATACTAGTTTAAACACAAAACAAAAACTAAAATTAATAATAATTCAAAAAAGAACCAGCTTCGAACTCCTCCTCTTCCAAATGAAGTTCCTCAGAACGTTGATCTTCACTAGAATTATCGATAGCAAAAGTTAGTGGAAGGAGAAGGAATATGGCTAAAATGGGGGAAAGAGTTAGGCTGAAATGGGAGAATGAGAGGGAGTAAACGAGAGAGAGAAATGGAAGCACAGAAGTAATGGGAAAGAAGGAGGTTTAAATATGGATAAAATTTTAGCGTCGAAATATGAACACATTACATCGGTCAAAACCGACACCATCTCTGACAAACTGACTTAAAAGTAAGTGGTGTCGAAATAATTGGACTTTGTGTCAATTCAAACCGACACTATATCTGACATGCCCTAGATACACCTAGCCTGACAAACGTTTTGACTGAAAGGCCTGACACACTTTTGACTGAAAGGCCAGTGGCGTCGAAATAGGGTAACATTGCGTCGGATAAAAACCGAGGTTGACAGATTTGTGTGGCATTGAAATAAGGAAAAGCTTTGGTAGACGTAATTATTTCGTAACGGAAACACATGGAGATTGTTTTATATTGTTGTTATACGACATATGATTGACAACAAATCCATTTTACCCGTAAGCACCGAACGCTATCAATTGGATTCAAATGAGATGGTTCCACCAATCAAAGTAAAATAAAAGAAATGCTAACTACCTTCCCCGTTTACCTTTTTCTTTGTTTCTTTTTCACTTGCATTTTGACATGTGGAATCCACTTATACATTCATTTAAAAAATTAATTAACTGAAATCACAAATTCTTCTTTTTCAATAGTCTTATGATTTGGAGTACTACTAGTGCAAAGACATGGTTGTGAATACAAATTTTCACCGTCTCCTCCTTTGATGAAAATGCACCTACAAAATAATAACATTTAAAATTAAAGTCAAAAGCCTCACGCGCCCACGATGAATGGGGGGACCAGGGAGCTTTAGCCGAAAAATCTCTGATGTCAAAGTTAGAATTCTGAAAAGAATATGATTAGGAGTTTCTAGGCACATTAATCGCAAAAGATGCTTTTGAAAAAGGAATAACATTTTTTTTCCTTTTTGCTAAGCGGCCTTTTCTCGAGTCGACATTTTTCAATACAAGGAGGCGCACTCATAGTAAATGGGGAACCCTTTATACACGTACATGGTATAGCCCCCTCTTTTTTTATTTTATATGTATTTCATTAATTTTTTTTAAAATAGAAATTGTTTTTATTTTTTTACTTTTTTTGGGGGTCCTTTGTATTCAACCCATGGGGATCCGCGCTATTTATACTTTTAGTGTTCCTATATCTATTAAAAGTCTTAAAAAGAAAAGAAATTCTTTTATATTTGTATTTACCATTTCTCGTAGTAGTTTATATATTTGATATTTTCAGCGTAAACAAAGCCGTTTTTTTAATGGGACCTCTCGCGGAAGCTTGTGCAATCTTTTTTTTTTTTTATGCTAAAACAGGTGAAGACTATTTTGTCAGTTTTAGCATCTTTGTTATAAATCATTCAGAATGTGATTAGGAGTTTCTAGGTAGCAATTGGCTTAGCTTTTTAGTGGGATAATAAGGCTATTTATAGGGGAGTGGCAGACCCTATTTGGAGAATAGTGGCTGGCCATATAAGGTGTAATTGGGTGAATAATTGCAAGATATTATGTGAAATAATATCTTGCAATTAACATGACAATTAATCCTAAATTAAATAGGAAATTTAGGAGTTAACTTTTGAATAAGGATTTGATGAGGAATGATGAGAGGGATTTGAATAAATACCAGTTTGATCACCTTTGACTCTTCCTTGATTGAGTTGTTATTGCCTATTGCATGTGCATAGGAATCATGGTGTGCCTTGAAGGTAATTTTATCATTTTTACCCAAAAGTCCACGTGTCACCTCCATAATTTTCTTGATTCTTTTTTGCTCCACAAATGCCCCCACACCTATTGGGCTGCTTGCAGGAAAGGGCAGTTGTTGTATAGATTTTCCCTTGCTTTAGGAAACATAAGATTGTTTCCTATTTTGATATAGATTCCCACTTAAATTGGAAATTAGATCCTTCTAGGAAAGGGAAATAAATTACTTATAAAGTCTATTTAAGTCTACCTTAAGTAGATGATTAAATCAACTTTTGAGAGCAATTTATTCTACCCTACAAGAGAGAGAAAGCTAGAGGATATTTGTTCTCTCTCCCCTAGCAATCTTCTTCCCTTGCCCGTGCAAAGGACCGTCTTTGTTGCTTTCTTCACTTTCACACCTCACCAAGGTAAGAAAAAATTAATTTTTCTTGTCTACTTAATTTTTCGGAGCCTTGAGGCTTGAAATTTGGCTCGATGGAGGTTAAAGATATGTCAAAAAGTGGCTTGGAAGGACCACGACATTGTTGCCATGGGTGGTTTAATGCGGCAGCGGCTTGACGCGAGTCGAGGTCTGGGTGCATTGGCATGGTCGCAGAGGTAAACTAGGGTTTGGCTCGGGTCAGGAACTTCTCGGCTTAGGCCGAGGTTATGAAGGGTTGGGGCGCTGATCTATGAGCTACTGAGCTTAGGCCCGTGCGGAAAAGATGAGATAGATGGAGGTGCGAGGGTGCTAGCCCCTTTCTTTTTAGATTAGGTTGAGAGAATGGTAGCGCCTAGCGTGTTGGGTCTCCTGGTGCGATGGCCTACCTGCCGTGTTGGGCTGAGAGAGAGATGGAAGCCAACGCAGGCTGGGCTCCTTTGGCTGTTATCCTTGTGTCGTGGGGCTTGATGCAATTTTATTTTTTTTGCAGCCGTCTAACGATTCTTTCCTTGCTTCTTTGTCGAATTTCTTTGAGCATGTATTGTTTAAGCCACAATAGTGATGATGGTGTGCTGCCGTTATATTATCAAGGCAGGTCTTTGGGTAAAGTAGGCTACTTCAAGGCTACTACTTCAAAATTAATTTCAATGACTCGTTCAGAGATTTCCTTGAAGCATATAGGCACGCCATTCCGTTTGGGATGCGTGAGAAGCGTGTCAAGAAGGGTAGCAGCCTTGAGCCATGTAGTGGGGCTCGGAGAGCTATCAAATTTCACCCCTACTACTTTGTGTTGAGATTACTTTTCCCATGTCGTGTTTCTTCCAAGAAGTGCTTTGCTCCATGAAGTGTGCCCCCGCTCAATGTTCACCAAATGCAATTCGAAGGGCTGGGTTCGGTTGGCAAACCGTGCCAAATTCCTTGTGCCACCTACTAGCCACATATACATAATTACCTAAAATCAATTACTGCTAGCCAACCGTCTTCTTGCGGTTGCCAAAAATCGGTTTAGCCAAAATTATTGGCTGGTTCGATTGGTAAATGGCACAACCGGTGGTTTCCACTTCTTCCTCGCTATCTTCCAGTTCCAGGGGCTCATTTTGATTTTCAGATTGGGGTGCTTGTTCTGTTGCATTGTGTGGTTCATTTTGGGTTAATCCATGTTGTGCACTAGCGGTTGATTAGCTAGACTCCATCATCCTAAACATAAGCAACGCATATACATTCAAAATCATATATATGTACCTGTATATATAGTATCAGTAATCATCGTGCTATCAATTTTGCTAACAATATTTTTTATATTTATTATGGCATGAATCATATACATATACATATATTTTTTAAACCCTAAAACTAAGGAGTCAACAGTCAAGCATGTAAAAATACCTAAAATATCTAAATAGAAAAAAAAATTATATATATATATATCGGTAGGTATGGCATACCGCCGGCATACAAAATCAATTACCAAAGCCATGCCATTAATTGTCGGTTCAGTAAAATGCCAACCAATTATGAAAAAAATACCAAAACTATACCATACCATTATGAGCCGATCGGTATGGTTCGGTTGGTAAATCAGTTTATGGTAAAATTTTCCACCCCTAACGGTTCGTGTGATGGTGGGATTCCTCAACGAATTCGGGTACTTCTTTGACATAGGTCATATTGATGGAGTTGGGCAACTGCGATCCGGGCCCCCACCACATCCCGGGCTCGACTCCGCCGTAGCACGATATTGTCCGCTTTAGGCCCCGACCACGCCCTCACAGTTTTGTTTTTGGGAACTCACACAAGAACTTCCCAGTGGGTCACCCATCATGGGATTGCTCTCGCACGAACTCGCTTAACTTCGGAGTTCCGATGGAACCCGAAGCCAGTGAGCTCCCAAAAAGCCTCGTGCTAGGTAGAGATGGGAATATACATATAAGGCTTACATGATCCTCATCCCTGGACGATGTGGGATGTTACAATCCACCCCCCTTAGAGGCCCGACATCCTCGTCGGCACACTTCTGGCCAGGGATTGGCTCTGATACCAAATTGTCACATCTCGGCCCGGGCCCCCATCACATCCCCGGGCTTGACTCCGCCATAGCACGATATTGTTCACTTTGGGCCCCAACCACACTCTCATGGTTTTGTTTCTAGGAATTCACACGAGAACTTCCCAGTGGGTCACCCATCATAGGATTGCTCTCGCGCGAACTCGCTTAACTTCAGAGTTCCGATGCAACCTGAAGCCAATGAGCTCCCAAAAAACCTCGTGTCAAGTAGAGATAGGAATATACATATAAGGCTTACAGGATCCTCACCCCTGGGCAATGTGGGATGTTACAAGTTATGTTAAGACGAATTTTTCAAAATAACACTAAAGGAATAGAATTAATAAGAATAGAAGAAGTAGATACTGAAAGAGAAGCATAAGCTTTTAGAAATAAGACTCTACATTTGTTAAATCCAAAAAATCTACATAAGAACGGAGAATGGTTTAGTGAAAGTAAACTTTATAGTCACCATCAAGAACAAATTAGACGAGTAGTAAACAAACAAGACGTAAGCAGAATTAATTTAATCACAAGAGAATCTTATAATAACACTAGTACAAAAAAGACTTTGCGCGACGTAGGACCGTCGTCGCGCAAAGTAAAAAATACGTCGCCCAAAAATTAGCCCAACGAACCTTCGTCATGCAAGAACCGTCGCGCGAAGGCAGTAAAGGAAGGGTTTGCGCGACGCAATGACTACCTGCGTCGCGCAAAGTAGCTTTGCGCGACGTAGGTAGGCACTACGTCGCGCAAAGTTTTTTTTTTTTTTTGTCATTTATATTTTTTTATTTAATTTTTAATAAATATTATAATTAAATTCTAAACAATAATTAATAAACCAAGAAAAAGTAATTAATTATAGAATATATGAAAATGTACATTTGTCCAAACAAAAAAATAAAAAACTACAAGTCTTCTAAGTTTAATACATCATGCTACTCGGTATCGTCTGGGCGAAATGGCTGGGAAGTCGAAGGTGGAGCAACATTAGGTGCTGGCATCGTCGGGATTTGGAGGCCGGACATCGCTAAGGCCTGAACAATCATATTCATCATCTCGTCCTGGGCCCTAATGTGGTCGCCCTGGGCCGCAACCTGACCTCTTAGGCGAGCAATCTCCGGAGATTCCCATAGCTGAAAATGCTTGTGAAGAGCGCTCTTCCAATCTTTGTACCGGCTTGCTAAGGTCTCCTCTAAGTAGGCACTGACCTCAGGGGATATGTCCTCCATTTCAAAAACGACCTACAAATATGAAAAACAAAATGACAAACAAAATGGCCATGTATCAGAATAATTGACAATTATGAACAGAAGAATAAAGTATATATGCTCAATTATAGTAATGTCAAAAACATAACTTACTCTTTAGTATTCTAATACTGCACTATCATGCTGCACGTTACTCATAAAAAGAATAAAGTATGAAGTTAACACTAGAAACTTACCACACTACCTTTAGCCCCAGATGTGGTCATAAGATAGATACAATTCTTAACGGACGGTTTTGATAACCCTTTCAACAATAATTGTTTGAAGACGTCAGAGTTGGAGGTCTTGTTATTAAGCTGACTAATTATTCTCCTATCCAAGGCTGCCAAGGCAGATTCTCCATTACTCCGTATAAATTTTTCAATGTTCAATTGCAGTGCCACTAGATCTGCAAATTTCATCAAGATATCATGCATCCGTTAAAACAAATGAACTGAGAATAGTGGGGGAAAACACAAGGTGTAAAAACTTAAAAAGAAAGACTGATCAGAAATTATAGATTTTCATTTCAACAAAGTTTTTCTTCAGATTGAAATGCTCATCCGAATAGACGATAATTTGATATTGAATGGCATTTTAAATTATTTGAATTGAAGCTACCCTAGTAACTATTAGTACCGCTACCATTTTTCATAAGAAAAATCAGATTAAATACTCCGATCTCCCATGTTTTAACTGAAGCTGAAAGCGAAGATACTATATATATTAGGTACAACAATAACATATGTATCTGCAGTTCGAATATGGGCTTAGTCTTGACTATGGGGCTATAGAGATGGGTAAGCTGGCTCAGTTTGGCTGATTCTGTTTTAAGAATGAGATAGCTTGGACTTCGGTGTCAAAGAAATTACGACACCTTAAGAATTCCAGAAATGGTTGTTATTTTCAGGAAAGACATGTTCTATGCGTGCATGAGATCAACAAGAAACCTTCTACTGTGTTGACCGTTAAAGGTAAAATTGGATTAGAAAAGTGATGAACTTGGAGGAATGAAAAATATCAGAACATTCAGAGAGGCAGAGAATGGAAGCATTTGTCAAGTGAGCCTAGATCTCTCACATTGTACAACGACCTCACAATCATCAACCTATATATGTTTTTGACAGAGAAATGTTTGCTACAGAACAATGGCATACCTTTTCTTTTATCATCTTCGACCTCGATAAAATCACGGAAAACTTTTTCACCAATCTCTTCACAACTTTCAAGTTGTTCCTTCATTTTTGTGTCTTTGCTGGGCATCACCAGAAGATCATCAACACCACATGTGAACCCATGCATCTGAACCATACACAACATAATGCAAGCTTATATAGTTGCTACTTGCTAGAGAAAATAAATTAAGGGTTAACAGGAAATAAAATTAACTACATAACAGCAAAACAAATATTGAACCCAACTAACCTGCAAATAAACAGTAAATAAACGACTCAATACAGAAAGCAAAATTCCTGCAGCATCTGAGCCATAGAGCTCCTGCACTATATATTACTATAATTGAGCATCTATATATTACTATAATTGCTGCCATTTCCCCATATCGCGAATTTAAAAGTTTCACCAAAGGAACTAAATTTCACAGTGAAATACTGAAGAACAAGCAGCAAGTACAAAACCCCACCAAAAAATATGAAAAAACAGAGTACAAATGGAGGTTCAACACTCACCGCCACCGGAAATATCCAAAAATCCAATCACTTGGTCTTCACATCCACTCCATCCGTGCCAGCAATGATCACCGCCGTCGCCATGTCCAAGAACAACCCATGTTCCACAACACCTTCGAATTTCAAAAAAAAAAGCGTGGAATTGGTTGAGGAGGATAGTCGGCTGGAGTTAGGAGAAGGATTTGGGTTTGGTTTGGGAAGAGAGACCGAGTGAAAGAGATGAGAGAGCGGAAGGCTTTTGGTTTGGAAAATTTGGGAAATTTTTTTAAAAAAAAGCGCCTATTTTTTAGAATTGCCCCGCCAAAATAATGACAAATGGCTCGACGCAGGTATACATTTCGACGTCGCGCAAGGTTTTTTTTTTTTTTTTTTTTTTAAATATAAACTTTACTGAAAATTTACTTAATAAATATATATACCTTTGAACTTGATGGAATACGCATTGTACGAAACTAATTTCAACAATCCAACCGTCAAAATTGTTTGTATATATTCCGAGATCGCATACGCCAAAAATTGGAAAAAAAAAAAGCATCCAAATATCAAGTAACAGGGCAAAACATTTTGACGGTTATAAACGAAAAACACGATTTAACGGTTATTTTAACTCCGATTTTGATTATTTTTTAGAGTTACACTCCTTGAGCCTATATGAATACAACGAACCGATTCGATCCTCAATTTAAAATATTTACACAAGCGGATACCACAAAATGTTATGTTAAACTTAATGATAGTATAAATAAACTCTAAGTGTTAGGGAATCTATCGTTTTAATGGGATACGCATTGTACGAAACTAATTTCAACGATCCAACTGTCAAACTTGTTTGTATATATTTCGAGATCGCATGCGCCAAAAATTGAGAAAAACAAACATTCAGATATCAAGTAACGGGACAAACCTTTTCGACGGTTATAAACAAAAAAACACTATTTAACGATAGTTTTAACTCCAATTTTGATGATTTTTTAGAGCTACACTCCTTGAGCCTATATGAATACAACGAACCAATTCGATCCTCAATTTAAAATATTTACACAAGCGGATACCACAAAATGTTATGTTAAACTTAATGATAGTATAAATAAACTCTAAGTGTTAGGGAATCTATCGTTTTAATGGGATACGCATTGTACGAAACTAATTTCAACGATCCAACCGTCAAACTTGTTTGTATATATTTCGAGATCGCATACGCCAAAAATTGAGAAAAACAAACATTCAGATATCAAGTAACGGGACAAACCTTTTCGACGGTTATAAACAAAAAAGCACGATTTAACGGTAGTTTTAACTCCGATTTTGATGCTTTTTTAGAGCTACACTCCTTGAGCCTATATGAATACAACGAACCAATTCGATCCTCAATTTAAAATATTTACACAAGCGGATACCACAAAATGTTATGTTAAACTTAATGATAGTATAAATAAACTCTAAGTGTTAGGGAATCTATCGTTTTAATGGGATACGCATTGTACGAAACTAATTTCAACGATCCAACCGTCAAACTTATTTGTACATGCTTCGAGATCGCGTACGCCAAAAATCGCAAAAAACAAACATTCAGAGATCAAATAACGGGACAAACCTTTTCGACGGTTATAAACGAAAAAGCACGATTTAACGGTAGTTTTAACTCCGATTTTGATGATTTTTTAGAGCTAAATTCCTTGACCCTATATGAATACAATGAACTAATTTGATCTTCAATTTAAAATATTTACACTAGTTGATACCACAAAATCTTATGTTATACTTGATGAAAGTATAAATAAACTCTGAATGATAGTGAATGTATTGTTTTGATGGGAAATGCATTGTACAAAACTAGTTTCAATGATCCAACCGTCAAACTTATTTGTACATGCTTCGAGATCGCGTACGCCAAAAATCGCAAAAAACAAACATTCAGATATCAAGTAACGGGACAAAACTTTTCGACGGTTATAAATGAAAAAGCACAATTTAACAGTAGTTTTAACTCTGATTTTGATGATTTTTATAGCTACACTCCTTGAGCCTATATGAATACAATGAACTAATTTGATCGTGAATTTAAAACATTTACACAAGTGGATACCACAAAAGAAAAAGGCAATGCAAGACCCCAAAAAGAAAAGCAAAAGGAAAAAAAAAAAAAACATTTTGCGCGACGTAGCCAACGTCGCGCAAAGCAGTTTTGCACGACGGAACTTTGCGCGACGAAAGAATGCGTCGCTCAAATCGGTTTTGCGCGACATAAGTGTACCTTCGTCGCGCAAAACATCTTTGCGCGACGCATTCCTTCGTCGCGCAAAGTTCCGTCGCACAAAGCTACGTTACGCGACGTTTTGTGTTTAGCGTCGCGCAAAATGTTCTACGTCGCGCAAACATGTTTTTGTACTAGTGTAAAAATAGATAAGAAATATAATCTAATACATTTAGGAATAATGGTGGTAGAAGTTAAGAGTTTAACCAGACCACAATTAGGTGTTAAAGTTTTAATAAGTATACTTGATACTGGACATAAAAAGTTAGACGCTGCCACAATACGAATGATGGAAATAATATGTTTGAGAATGCTATAGTAGTTTATTGCCAACCTGGCTTTATGATTCCCTTCAAATATTTTTATAAAGATACTCAGATAACAGTAAAATCTACGAGTTATGAAATGATAGAAAACAAAGATAACTTATTACTTTGTGTAGGATTTATTGGAAAGTTACAAGTAAATAGTAGTACTAGAACAAAATTAGATTTAAACAAAAATTTGGAAATTTTTGGAAGTAGAGGAATTTCTGTCCTAAAAGCAAAAAAGGCAGATATGTTAAACTTAGAAGAAATTGAATGGGATGTGTCAAATATTTTAGGAGATACTAATACAAGAGACCCCACAGAATTCAATATGTATACACATTATAATGGAGACCAGGCAGTAAGATTTAGTGTTTACAAACTAAGTAGAGAAGAACAATATGAGGACGACCTTGAAGAATAGAGATACAAGTTCTTTAGCTTATTCCGCAAAAACTAAAGAATGGAAGTACATCTCACCCTAGAAATAAGAACAATATGAGGACGACCTTGAAGAATAGAGGTACTAGTTCTTTAACTTATTGCACAAAAATTAAAGAATGGAAGTACGTCTCACCATAGAAATTGGTAAGAACAATATGAGGACGACCTTGAAGAATAAAGGTACTAATTCTTTAGCTTATTCCGCAAAAACTAAAGAATGGAAGTACGTCTGTCTCACCCTATCATTTTTTATCTGATATTCTAATTCCTGAATCTGAAGTACTATATTCCTATTTTTAAGCTTTTCTTCTCTTAAATCGAGTTCTAAATGTTTCTATGATAGACTGGAAGAATGTTTTTCTTTTTCTAAAATTCTTTCTTGAGATCGTTCCTCTTATGTCATTACACTTTAAACATTTTACTTTGTTTCTTTTATCTGGGAAAGAGCTACATTTACTGCACCTATCTGTCATAAAGTCCGAGTATCTTGTAAATTGATGAATACAGTTGTTCATTATATGGTAAATTGGGTTATGTCATTTAGAAGATTTATAGTGTCATCTTCTGAAGAAGATTCGTGTTCTGAAGAATTAAGTGAAATTTCTTGATCTTCACTTGAGTAAATACTATAAACTGACTCTACATCGGCATTATCAGAAATATCTATGAACACTAGTTCTGCTTGGTAGAAAGGCCAAAGCCGAAATCTTAGAAATTAAACTTCTTAGAACTTACAATTATAACGTGTCTTTATTAAAGTGCGAAGGAAGTTGTTGTAAAATTGTGAAAATGAATGCCCACAGTAATGTAATTGTTATTATATGATGTTTTTAGAAATGTCATAGTAGTGTGATTGTTATTATGTAAAGTTTTCAAAAAGAGAAATCATTTCACTTTTTGGTTTGTTACAAACGTGGCTCTATATAAAGAGCACTCCGTGTGTAATTACAATATACATAAAAGAAAAAAAGTCAAAGCAATAATATGAGTATCCCTCCCTTCCTTTTTACTGCAATCTTTTGTGTTATAGTTACGAAACTAAACAGTGTGATATCTTGCACCCGCTTCTCTCCTGTTCCTAATAAAGGTTATCTCTCTAACTTTTCATGTTATATTATAACAGAAGTATGAGAAATTAGGTTTTATTTTAGTGTCTTGGAAATTACCAATGCACCCTTCCCAATCCTAGTGAAATTGGGAATACCATATTCTATCAGGATTAACATCCCACTGTTGTAAATAGTGGGTATGTATGCCCACATGCATATAGTAAACCTTTCACAAGTTTAATAGTGTTTTGTTTGCTTTTCAAAATGTTTGCTCTATAAATAGAGCATTACAAGTGTTCAAAATGTGGTGATAAAAGGAAGAAGAGAGGAAGAAGTGAGAAGCCACAAGGCTCACGGCAGAGAGGGAGAATAGAGAGAGGAAAGTTATCTTTGTAATCTTATTACTTCATATTATAAATAAAAGCACTGCTGCTACTCCGAGGACGTACTCCAGTCACACTGACTGTAAAGGAACCTCGTAAATTTTGTGTCTTGTTTGTTTATTCCACTACACACACCATCGATTTTACAACACGTTATCAGCACGAGAAGCTCTCATATCAGTGGAAAGCACAGCGCCACAAATCTTGTTCACCTCCTTCAGCTGAAATCTCACGGATAAGAAAATCTTTTCATTTCATCTTCAAATCCCAGTACAATTGATTTTCTTGAAGCAACTATATATATTGTTGTATGACTGTATATCATCCTTTGCAGAAGCAAAAGAGTACAGACTCAAAATTCGTAAAGAATTTGATAGCCATGTAAACAGCCTCGGAACTCCAACTTGCGGACCTCAGATTGAAATACTTTCTTCTTGAAAGTTGTTCGTTCGCTCAGTATCTACAACATATCAAAATTTCAGAAAACTTTAACAATGCAATCGTCGCAGATGTCTGAAATACCAAACCAGTTTCCAATTTCCGCAGAAAACTGGACAGCCACCTTATGAGTATCACAACTCCATTTCGGTAGCTCAAATCGAAATTGTTTCTTCACGAAAGTTGTTTGGCATCCTCTTATCCATATCATACTAAAATTTGACCTAAATCTAACGGTTTGATCTCTCATAAGTTGCAGACACTCTTGACTCCAAAACTTATGGGAACCGTTTCGACTTTTTCAAAACTCACCGGATGAGGAACACCAATTGGAACTTATTGTTACTATTATTTACTGAGTAACCAAAA